TGTATCTTTTCCACTGTTTTCTTTTGTAAGATGTTTAACTGTTTCTCGTTGGTTTATACTTTTACGCAACAAGTATAAAGTTACTAACGACACTTTTATCATTCTCCTTTAAAATGTTATAAAGAGATGGAGGAAAAAGGGTTAGTCTATTTTAATTTGATCTCCCAAATAAGTGAACTCGCAGGATACGCGAGATACCTGGTAAAATCATTTTTATAAGTGAAAATTTTGGGGTCGAACGTTACAAGAGTAATTGTTAAATTGTAATTTGTTCCATTAAAATCGAAAGATGTTGGATTAGTTGTTGTTGCCACGGATGCTAATGTGTTGGTAGAATGTAAATGCGTGGGTGGAATATCGCAGGAAACTATAGAATAAAACAAAAGCTTGAAAATACCTTTTAAAAATCAGAAGCAGTTACAAGATGTTAAAAAATTGCCTACATACGTGGCTGATTTGTAATACTAACATTCATCCAATACAAGGGTGAAGAGGGTTACTGAATAATGTATAAGTAGTAGTTTTCCGAGGCGATAGCCTGTCAACGTAGACCTGCCCCATAGGTCACTTTGCAGATAAAATCCCCTTTCCTCGCATGAATTATCTGCCTCATATCATTTGTGATAAGGGCGCACCTCAGAGATTGGCATCTGACCTCTCTCCCGATCTAGCACTAGCCTCCCAGTTGTGAAAAATGGCTAGTTACATTAAATACCTCGAAAATCAAACTAATTGCATTCCATCACCACCGACCAGACCCCAGACTACCGTCAGTCATGATGATCCCTCGAAGAGGTAGCGTGCCTTGAGAGAATATTAGGCCAAATACTCACACCTGACCTCAACACTAACATAACATCCATCGAGAAAGATGTATGTAAAATGTTCAGCTCCCTGTACCGTTCAAGTAAATACCTAATTTCTCATGCTATCCTTTGCCTTTATATTAGAATAGCAGTAGAACCCGGCGTTGCCCGGGGATGTAACAGTAAGAGATAGGTCAAGTATCGACCATCATAAAGACTGAAAAATAAAATTGACAAAGATTATTGTTTAAGGTTGACGGACACGAATGTCTTAATTAGTTTTTTTTTTGTTCTTTTTTTTTACGAATTAGTCAAACCCAAATTCAAACAAAAGAATTGTTTTCAATCGTTATGATCTATCGATTGATGAATAGAATTTTATTATAAACAATTGTCTTGTAAATGGAATTTTTAAAGCATTCTGAATGTAAAAATAAAGAAAAAAGTATGCAAGACAATAAGAAACACTACCTGCCAAAAAAAAGTGAAGTTTTGTTGAAATCGGTTGAAAATGTAGGAAATCCGATCCCATATATAAACGAACACAAACACACACTCACAAAACAACCTGGGTTTTATAATAAGTATAACTCGATATGAGTTGCCCCCCATTTCATTCTCGCGACAGCGATTCCTCTTAATCGTGTTTTCAAATTGATTTCGTGAAAAGACAATTGTGTTTTTCCAATTTTTGGCGCTGTCAGAACCACCGCAAGGTAATTTTACGTAGTCCTGTGAAGTTTTGTTGTAATCGGTTGAAAAATGTAGGAAATCCGATCCAATATATAAACGAAACAGGCACACACACACAACCTGGGTTTTATAAGTATGATCAGGATGTATTGCTGTCATATTTGGACGGGAGCTGCCGAGTATTCACTTTCCAGTCTTGCCAGAGTTCAAAACCGTCTCTGAGTCCTTAATAGAGAAGAATTATTTTCCACTCTTCAACCTCTCTCTCACATGTGGGATGTCGCGAGTCTTTCGCGGCTCAACAGCTACTACCATGGAAGTGCTCGAACGAACCACATTTTTGATGACGCTAGGTCCAACCTTCACGGTTAGGACCCACCATGCTACTTACACTGTAGCAAGCATTTAACATTCCCCCTGTTTTCCTTCGGTTTCATGGAACAGCTTCTTTCCGCGAACTACTGTAATTTCACTTGTTCATTTCAAGTCTAGGGTTAACCGTTATCTTCCCCTCTTATCCATATATACTAGCCCTTAAGGTAAACCTCTGCCACGAGTGCCCACCCTCGAGGTTTGTACTGGGCGTGGCTCTTTGTACAAAAATGAAATATCTGAGATAAAACTGATGTGTTCAAGACTTATCTACCATTTTGGCGGGGTTAAATCTGAAAAATATTTTGCTTTGTACGAAGAATTATTTTCATTTGCGGGGGGGGGGATCAATGATTGTTCCGGATACAATTACTACTATTTAAATTATTGCTGGGAGTTGGGATTGATTCCAAATGTATTTGCGCGTATATGAATGTAATGAACACCACTGGAATTCGAACTCGGTTCTCCGATTTCCCATTCCGAACCACTATCCATTACACCATCCGCACTTCCATAGTGTTCAAGAACTATCCACACGGGAGAATGATCTAGAAAGCAGTTATACTTGGAGAAATTGTTTTCGTATATCAAGAATGCGAAGAAAATTGGCGTTCCGAATTCGTGGATATATCATGGCGTCTCTTAGCTGTAAAGGCCTAGACAGCAGGAAATGAACAATGGAATAAGTGCTAGAGAAAGTAATTATCAATGAGACTTATCCAATTTTATAAGGATTTGCACGTTCCTTAATTGACTTTGATTAACAAATCAGGAAAGGTTTCTGATTGGACAGAAAGTTAGAACAAATTTAAACGATATGAACGTGAAACTGTGAAAAGGTATCAAACTCAATAAATTTTCATCTGAGATCTGTAGCAATAAATAGTTTAAAATAGTTTCCTAAATAAATTTGTCTAGTTAGCCACAAGATCAAAAATATCAAAATTGTTTCAATGCGATTATATTTGCATTCTAAATTGCGTATGCGTGTCACTTTCGAGAAACCTTGTATCTGAGCCCAAACATATATGCCTCAGCGTCTGCTGGCGGTGCAGCATCTATGGCTGCACAAGTTCACACAAGAGTGACAGTCACGATTTCAATCAATGCATGTCAAGACGCTCTCCCCATTGTCACCTTGTTTTCTTTCTGTCGAGAACACTTCTCCTAGGCGGCAACGTTTTGTTTCTCCTCGCTCCATCCCTCGGTTTAAATCCCTAGCTTGAACGATCGATGACGACGCCTTCCTAACTCTCGATGTTCAGGTTCATTGCCCTTATGCCCCTTTTGGAGACGCCCTTGAAGAGAAGATGAAGTCACCTTCGTGCCCTCTTGCAGGTGGTCTGTACACCATACTGAAGCAGCTTCCTCCTATCCGGCATATCCACGTCAGCAGAGCCGGCCCTATGGTATATAGGCTGGGTAACTATGCACGGTTGACAACTACGGTAGTGGTAACCCGGCCGAAGCAATTGATGCCTAGAATGCGTTTCTGACAACGAAGATGAAATCCACTGAGGGTTCTGTACTGTCTGGGGCAGAGGCCTTAAGTCTCGCTACTGTAAATCAACAAGTTTTCGACGCATGCCCTATGGAACGAAAGTTAAAAACAATTATTCAAGAAAATAGATTTGCCAAGTCAAGTTTCCTTCCTAATCTTTTATTTGAACTAGTGTTGAAATGTCAACATTTTCATTATGTTCTTATTTTCTCTTCGTGTAATATCACTTTTAGTTGTTGCTCTTGTTAAATGTCCTCAAATGATGTGGTCACTGTTACCTGGATGTAGAGTCTTTTGTTTGTCAATCTTTAGCGCCAGTATACATGATTTGTCGAAGGGTGATCCATACCAAAATTCACAGGCTTCACTTGCTTAAAACCATTTCAACCATTGCTCTTAGAATGCGTTCGTATAGTACTGAGGGTTTCGATATTTCTCAGTCGGTTTGACGCCTGGCATGACATCCATATGAACAATTCGATCTGATGAGTCTATTTAAAATCATAACTCATGTTTTCAGGTTGATGCGTTGTTTTTGTAGCAATTTGCAATGTTGAGTAAAAGTGCATTTAATGTTCATTTTATTATAACTGATCTATACCTCGAGTTATTTGAAGTGTTTAGTATTTACTCATACCACATTCTGATTTTAAATGATGGATTCAGGGTATGTGCCCTTGCTGTTTTCATCCTAATTCCAGGTTATAGTTTGTTTTAGAAATGTTGATCTTGAGTCCTATTTCTTGGAACACTTGGTAGAGATTGATGCATAACTTACAACACTATCCGCTATCTACCTTCTCAAATAACCTGTAGAATAAATTAAAACATAATCTCTCTGACTTATCAAATAACCGTTACGATAAAGCAATAATCCACAAATATCTTCTCTTTTTATTCATAATGTCCCTTTTGTATTTGATATTTTGTTATATTTTAGTTTGTAATTGAAGATTCATACCCTCACCCCTCATTTCATACCTTCTTTAAATGTTTGTATATATATATATATATATATATATATATAAAGAAAAAGGCTTAAACACTAGTATTCCATGGTCATAATTTATTTCATTTGAATCGTAAATACGATCCAATTGATCAGACCTACAAATTCAAATAGAAAACAGAAAAAAACAACTCCGGAAATAAAAAATAGAATTTAGAGAGAGTGTAAGTATGAGAGTGTAGGACGAGATGTGACACAAGGTCTATTTTTAGGTGGGGACCCCAGTGTGTACACCCGGCACAGGAACAAAAATTCCCTTCAACCCCCACAACGTGCGTGCACCGATCCCCCCCTCTCGTGCAATGGGAGGGCGCGGCCTCGGGCAGCTATTCCCCAGGGCTGGGCAACTCTCAGTATTATTTTCTCAGTTGCCCCTCTGTCCTTTGGCAGAGAAGCTTCTGATATATGTAGGAGTAAATGATGAAGGATGGCTTCTTTTGATATATGTGTAACTTGCAATCAATGAATGGTTCGTGAATCGGATTAGTTAGGCATAGGATAGGTAATGATGTCCATTCTCATCCCCCTTTTAGCTTTGTGCCTGAATTATTGTATTTTACAATAATAAATAGTCTATTCATAATGTCCTTTTGATCAACATGTTTAAATAATTGAGCTACCAAGCAACAGATGTTGACCACAGTGTCAACTCAGATAGATAGATAGATAGATAGATAGATAGATAGATAGATAGATAGATAGATAGATTATAAAAGTGGATCGAGAGGTCGACACCTAGCTGTCTGATTCATGCATGAACGCAATTTTCAGGCCTAAAGACTGTCGGTGCTATGTGTTTATCTAAGTGACCACTTTTATATTTTATATCTACATATACTCTATCCTAGTTATTGATCACCCTAAACCTATAAGTATACGTTAAAACTATACTAAATTTCTTATAATTCCTCCATACGCTGAGTTATTTGAAGTATTTAGTATGTAGGAATTCCTCATCATTATGATGGATTAAGGGTAAGTGCAGTTAGAGGGACATAAGGGCGATGGACATGGGTATCGAGAGTTGGGAAGAGGTCGCCATCGATCGCTCACGCTAGAGATGCGATTTAAACCGAGGGCTGTAGCGAGTAGAGGAGAAAAAACGTTGCCTGCTGGGAGCAGCGTGCTCGACGGAAAGTTAACAAGGCGACAATGGACAGTGCGTCTTGACATGTATTCGTTGACGTCGAAATTCTCACGCCCATGTGACCCTGCGCAGCCATAGCAGATGCCGTAGCGCTATCAACCGCCGAGGCATTATTCTTTGGGCGCAGATCTAAGGTTTCTCGAAACGGGCACACACACATACCATTTAAAATGCAAATATTAAACTATATTGTATGTGCCTTTACTGTTTTCATTCTGATTGCACGGTATCGTTTCTGCTTTGGAAAAGTTTATCTTGAGTCCTGTTTCTTTGAACAATTGTATGAAATATATTGAAGAATATGCAATTGCGATATATTTATCCTTTCAGGCCAGGTTCTTCATCATTGATCTTTTATAAAATCGTTTCTCTCTTTCCTCGGAAACTTACCGTATTCCTCGATGGAATTTCGAACAGAATGGTTTGTTTGATTCCCAAGGGAATATCGTTAACATAATTTCCTGTTAAGTCTGGTGTTCTTTGTAGGGAATTGCGGCCCTGACAATATTTAGAAACTTCAGTTAGAAATACAAACAATCAGAAACAATAAGAACGGTATCAAAGACCCTATTTATTCTGTTCCTCTAAAGAGTCTTTTTTTTCGACTGGAACTTAGTAAATTCATATATAAGAATATTCAATTATCTTTTGCTCAGTTGCAAATCAATCTAAGAGAAAAAGAGACAGTTAAAAGTTTCTGACCCTAACAGCTTAAATGCGAACAATAACCGAAAGAATTGGAATAATAATAGTAATAATAATAATAATAATAATAATAATAATAAATGTGGCACATGGGAACATCAACACTCCCCGTTGTAGTTGGAGCCCTCGGATTGGTTGGAAACGAATCCAGTAGACTAATTGAAGGGATCTCTGGAAGCCCATGCCTTAAAGAAGAAAAATTGTTCTCAGCTTACGAAGGGCTTTCTCTATGTAATTTTCTTTTCCAGTGGAAAATATCATGATTCCATTTCTAACCTTAGAAATCAGTACACATCAGAAATCAAAGAAAATAAAGATAATAATAATAATAATAATAATAATAATAATAAATTCATTTCAACCAACTAATCTTTATTAACAGAAGATTGTATATGTTATCTGTCATTTTAATTATCAAATGACCCCATAATCAATGTTTAAAGACCTCATATGTAGGTAGCCTATCGATTATTTTCAGAAAAAATTGGAATCTTCGGGACCAGTTCAAATACTGTTCAAATTTATAGTATCCAGTCCCCTATTTGTGAATAGATTTTCTCCCAAACGCTAAGGGTTAAATAACAGGTTAGACTCAACTCTATTGATTTGGATGGCAGTCAGACCATAAGAAGCAAATCTATTTTTATTTTACTTTAGTTCGCCGAATAGAAGAATCACTCAGTTTAGTAGGATTGTTGCAAGAGAGTGTAAAAGAGGAAGTAAGATGTGTATATGTAGGATAGATATAATTTGACATTCAACTTTAAAAATAAATGTGATCAGGGAAGCATCCTCACGGGATTCCATCCTCAAAATAACTGTAGCCTTATTAGAACTTACTCCTTACTAAAGGAACACAAAATAGATGGGATGATTTCCCACCGTGAACATTGTATGGTACTTTTTAATAGGTCATATTTGAATCTACACGTTTGGCAAGCGCTATTTATACAGCTTCCCGAGACGGGTGAGGAAGTTGTTTAAGTAAGCCGAAAAAATAAGAAATTAAAATGTCTGAGAATGGTGATAACCTATGATACTGGAATACAGAAAAAGGTCTCCCAAAATCTAAGTAATGTATTAAGCAAAAGGAAAATATTGCTAAAACCTAAAGAAAGTCTGATCGACGGCTATCTAATATGAATCCTCCTATATTGAAGTGAAGATAAAAATGTGGTTCTCCTGCAAAATACCGAAAATATCATGATCTGAACCTGTGACCAATGGGACAGTTCTAAGGAAAATGAAACCAAAATATATTTAGAATCAGAATGAGACATTTGATATCACTGGGACAGGAATTAGGAAAGAGGACTTGGAGAATTTGACTCACTAATTGACATATATTACAGTATTAAGAAATAGGAAATAAATTGTTGCGTTTCTAACTTCATTTCTTCAGACTCCAATGCTACATCGTAGATTGCATCAGCAAAGTACAATTTCCTTTTATTGTATGGCCTTGTTATATGTGAAAAAATCGAGGTAGGATCATTTCTAGAAAAAAGCGGGAGGAAGACGACCAAGAAAACTCTTCTTAGTCCTTGACTAGCATTTCATTGCCATGAGCTCACCTGCCTCACCGAGGAATTTGGGTGCGGGAGGCACATTGACTCTTCAAATTCTAACATCCGTGTTCGAATTTTGGAGCCATTTCTCTCATGTAGTAAAAACATACGTAAAAGTAATCAATCACTCTTAGAATTTCCCGCCTTTTGAAAAAGTAGTTTGCCATTGTGGGCCACCTTGCGCATTCTGTAAGATTTTGTTTGAAACCGTAATAAGGTGTGTTGAACTCCTACATAATATCAATACTATTTATCTTTATAAAAGCTGGTCGTAGATAACGAGTAGACCTTGCATATGAGCAACGAGGAACCTTACAGGAAAATGGGTCGAAAAAGAAAACATGCAATATTTTAAAAAAATCATTTTACCCCAAGCAAGGCGTTAAAGCCACTAAGATGCATGTTAGAAAAATTTTAGAAACATAATGGCTATTAATGAGAGTAGAACAAGATGTAGTTGAAATTCCTGAAACACATAATGTACCTGGCTCAGTATATACATTTAACTATTATTAATTTTGTTATAAAATAAGGTTTTCGGTTTTGGTTGATGAAAGTTTACATTAGCGCCTCTTTGCTTTCAACATAGATCTTAATCTCCTCTCAACTGAAATGCAAAACTTCTTCAGCGCGATGTTATAAAAAAACACCCTCTTACAGATCTGATGAAGATGAGTAAAAGATACATGGATTTTCACTCCCCCAACAGGGGATATATTTCAAGCTCCATAGGATTACTATAGGTTTTAGACAGAGGACAAATTAAATTTTGAAAAAATCCAGGTAAATTTCTATTTGCACTAGTTCTGCCTCACACTGGCAACACATTTGCTATTAAACACCGCTATTTACTTTCATCCTTTCTTCATTGATTACCAACGGCGAAATCGAACCGTCAAAACAGCCCAAACCATGATACCAATTGATTTCTATCACATGAAATTGGAATGTTTGGGAATGTTTGCTGCTGAACTGGCATAAACCTTACCGTTTTGTTAACGACAAGCTCCACAGTCATAAAACTCTCGTCAGATTTTGTCTGTCATGTCGCATCTCTTCCATCATTTCTTCCCTCGGCAAAGCCGTCTTTGTTTGGAGACATATGGAAGCAGCTGTCGTGATTGATTCTTTTATAGCTTCATCCCTAAACTCTCTTTCATTATCCTCTTTATCGTCCTCTACAAAATAACCAGCTCTTGCCACCTTCCTCCTGCTTCTTCGTGCATTTCTGTCCCCGTTCTTCTTAAAAGCTTCAGTAGCTTTCCTGGTAAGAACTTAATGCTTTCTTCCTGGAATTAGATTTGTTGCAGTTGTTTCTTTCCGTTGAAGAATTTTCCACGCATTAAAAACAGTTTTTATCCATATATGCAAATGTTTTAAACATCTCTAATTATTTATACAATGCGACAATTTACACGCGTTTTGTTTGAACCGCAATAATTAATTAAAATTAAAATAATAAACAAAAGCTTAAAGTAAGCCACCCGCATAATTTGAAACTATTTTTACAAATAACACTTGTTATGAAAGAGTGGTCTCCCCTTGTTTTATTACTCTCTTCTTTGAGAGAGCTATTTTTCTGAACTGGAACTATAAAAGGACACTATCCGCGAAACTTGTATTCTCAGAAGAATAAAGCTTTCTCAAAGCCTACACCTGCGGACTTTTCCCCAATACAGCACGTTCCCGTTTATGATTAAATAATAGGTAAATATTTAGACCACATCCGGTAGAAATAGGGTGATATTTAGGTATTCATCATCTAACTCCATGATTTTATAATCTCGAGTACTTCGGTTAATTTGCCCTCAATTCGCATTAAAATTTTCCAGACTTCATGTGTAATTGTACATGTTCCATTCGAATCTGGCTTGTTTGGAGTTATCGACAGTGAAATTTTGGATTCATTCGTGTCGCGGGCAGCCATTACGGGCGCTGTTTCTATACATTCGCTGCAGAATAGCTATCAGTATAAGTATCATTGCGCAAACTGATCGTGTCACTATAAATAATTCTCGTGCACAGTAATTGCGACAAATTTAGACAAGAAAGATCAGTTTCGAGCTTAGCTTTCCATAGAATTCCGCGTTTAGCTTTCGGCAGCGAATGTATGCAAACAACGCGAGTAATGGCGGTCGCCAACGACGCGATTGAATCCCAAATTTCACTGTCGATAATTCCAAAACGGTAGATTTTATCAAATTTATCAAGCCAGATTCGAATGGGGCATGTACAATTACACATGAATGTAAGTATTTTGCTAATTTTTAATGGGAACTGAGTGCGTGTGTTACACTGCAAATTAACCATTACTTCCAG